AGCTATGGATTGCATAGTAAAATTACGCACTTATCTTCAGTCCCGTGAAAATGTGAAACTATGATTTTTCACAACTTTCAACTATCGAGGACATGCTGTTCACATCGATTTGTTCTGATCGTCGTCAACCAAAATTACCGACTTTTTAAATAGCCATCCGTGTTAATAGCGAACAATTTACATTACAGATTTGTTTACCGTATTACAAATGTAATGAATGCAATGTGAATTTTATTTTTTATGACTGAGAAATCATGAAACGAATACAATGAGTACATGTGTGTTTGTGTATGCATACGTGACAAATTCAGTCGATCCAGCATGGACGTACTAAGAATTTCTTTATTCATTTATTTATACATGTACTTTGAATAATGAACAGTACATTTGTATTTTCCATTTTAATATTATTTCAATACTATTTGTGTGTTTTTAATGTTTGGTCTAGTGTTTAAAATGGCGCCATAGTTTTGTTTACCCTGACTTATGGTAATTAGTTTGTTTCTGTAAAGCGCCCTCTAGTGGTGATCGGTTATAACGAATATATTCACCTGGGGCCTTGATATTCGCACTAACGAGGTTTGACTGTATATGGTAACATAACGTGGTTACACAGTTATGATGGATAATTAAAATACCATTAAATTGTACATTGTATTTTCCTTAATAAATTTTTCCATTAGCTTTGGCTTTTCTACTTTTCAAAAAAAATAAGTAAAACACCACCCTCATTGTTACAATGTTGCAAAAGGGTTTTCATGAGTATCTCATTACTGCAACTATTGTAAGTTTTACTTCATTTCATGTGTTCCTATTGTTTTAATCTTTCTTTGCTTTATAGCTATCCACCATTGGAAGATGTGAATATGAGAAAACATGTGCACTATTAATACAGCTATTCGACCAATCAGCACAAGCCTATCAGAAACTTGTGCAAACAACACCAAATAATGCTGCAGAACTAGCAGTGCAAGAAGGTATTTGATTGGTGTATTGTTATGGAAAATAAAATTGACCAGATTCTTGTTTCTTCTGTGCCTAAAAATGTGCACAGATGATGACAGATACAGACTTCAACTTATATATTAAATAAAGTAAATTAATAATTGGATTAACTCCTGATATAGACTGTCTATGGTGTATGCATGCTTTAGAAAAATAACTAAAAAGATGTTGCATGTTTTACATTTCTCATAGTTTTCCCAAATTATTATTAAGTTTGGTAAAATCCTGCAATAGTTTTACTATGTTTATTTGTTTAACAGGTCGCTTAACCTGGTTAGTTTATATAATTGGTGCTGTAATTGGTGGTCGGGTTTCATTCACTAGTGCAGATGAACATGATGCCTTAGATGGGGAGTTGGTTTGCAGGTAGGATTTACTCTATTGCGGGTAGTAAACTACTTGAACATCAAAGAAAACTTTCGTCAATTTTCACAAAAAAAAAACGTACATCATTTTTGCATACAATATTTGTAGCTAATGGAGAATTAATAATATGTAATCTTGTTATAACAAACTCTTTGGAGGGCATAGTTTGTTACAGTGAAGTGTTCATTATAATACATTTGTTATGAACAGGGGAAGTGCAATGTGTTCATTATATCAAGAAATTCATTATAACAAGGTTACAGTGTATGTTCATTTGGTTCAAAATCATTGAAAGTGAATGCTACACTAATATTTTTTGAGAAAAAAATGTGATGTTCAAATAGTGTAGTTTGATTATTTTTTTCTTCCAAAAATTTGCTAGAAATAATTGTAATTAATTTTGTCTAACACAAGTTTGATTTCATAACAAAAAGACATAATTAGTCCCCATTCGAATGAAGTTCCAAAAGGAGACTTGTAATTTGGTC